GGCCCCTTGTGCAACCCCAGAAGCAAATCTGCTTTTAACTCCTAGCTTGTCCTTTTGGTTTCTCATTCCACTTGGACCTTCATTATGCAAATTGCCTCACTGAACCATAGTGCAGAGGTGTAAATATCTTCTGCCTGGCAGGCTTCTCTGAAGATCAAGAGAATCTATTGCAGGTTATCCTAGCATGAAAAATGCACCCCTCAGAAGAGAGGGGGCTCAGCCTGTACCATGTCCAAGCTGACTGGTAAACTGATTTATTTACTGATGTCCAGGTGAGAAATTAGAAGCTCTCCCTCAAAGGAGAGCTCAGAAGGAAGATTAACGATAGAGACACTCCACAGGAAGGAGCAACATTAAGGACTTCTGTGGAACACTTCCTGCTAAGGTGTCCCCACATGGATTGATTTGCAGAAGAAAATGCAATTGGGTGGGGGTGAGTGTAGAACCCTAAACACCACAGCCACTTTACCATGTTTTTTTTTGTCGTTGCTGCCCTTTTTTGCCCCCCCTCCTCCAGATCTTGTCTCCTCTCAGGCTGAACTTACAATTCAAAAGTAAATCTGCTAGGGTCAAACCTGCACTTCCCATGCCTTAAATGAATCCTTGGCATAAATCACCTTACTCATCCTTACACTCTTGAAATACCTCAGATTGAACCACTTGAATGCTATTCCAGGTTTACTACAGCTGGAAACCTCACCGCATTTCAGGCAGACAGCCTCGAACGACAAAAACACAGACAAAACAGATTTCAATGAGAAAGCTACCAAACAACAGTTAAGACAGAAATGAAGCTGGTATTGATCAGCAGCAAACACCTTGCTCTTCAGATTTAATGTGTATGTTTTCAGGATCTTACATAATGTACCATAACATAAGACTCTAAAACATACTACAGCTTTACCTATATTGTAAGTAACACTGAGGTTAATTGAGTATCACAGTTCTCCCTTCACAGGCTTTACTGAATGGTGCTTTTCTGCAGGAGTATAGTGATCTTGATTTTTCACATTAGCTTAAGTGAAAATCAACATCCTGCACACAGAATCTGAAAGTCTCAGGTTTGGAAAGGTCAGATCTACATAAGGCCTCTGCCCAAAAATAAGTATTCCTTTCTGCAAATACTGAATGATTCCGGTGGAAACAGAGCTTTCACTTTTCCCAGCTAGATCAATTCATTTGCCTCTGCCTTGCCTAGTCTACAAATTCAACACAGCATAACTGATAGTAGGCAGAAGTTCTGGAAAGAACAGTTTCGAATAGCTGATAGCTACAGATAAGGGTTATTTGCTAAACCGAATAGCTTAAAGCTGAGCATTAACCTTTCTGTAGGCCACAGAGTTTCCAAACAGCAAGGTATACAACAGCACGAATACGGCAACAAGTTTTCCACTGCTAAAGCTTTTCATGCACATAGACATGCATGAGCACTGCTTCGCAAAACTCAGAGCTACCCATTTGGAGGCCTCCCCCTAGAGCACTTATCAGAGAAGGGGAACGGTGGTTCCTGTGGGACAAATATAGTTTGACACAAGTCCAGAGATTCACTTGCTAATGATCCTCTTCTTTTATGCTGTATGGGACACAACAGTTCAAGACTTAAAAAGAGCAAGGTTTCAGACCGTGTTCAGAAATTAGTCTTTTTGCTTTTTAAACATAGCCTGCCTCTTCCAGCCATGCACAGCATCCTGCTTCCTGAGAAGAACAAGGGAGGGACTGTGATGCTATGGGTGACAGACCCTTTAATGTAGGAACACTCCTGGGGAAGAACTGCAGAAGCTCCACAGACGCACAAGTTAACAGTACTTTCAAACCCAACCTCTGCTCTGAATACACAGGATCCACCGCTGCATAAATTGCTCTTCACTCAGATTCCCTTGGAAATGCTTCAAAGGCAGGAAACAAACCTGTGCAGGAGGAGACGCTCCTGGAATAAAGCAGCGTTTTTCAGTTGCCTTGTTTGGCAATACCATGTCTGCAGGATCAACCTCTTCTTCTTCTGGTGGCTGTGCTGAACCCACCATTGCTGCAGCTCTCTCAAAGCACAATTCCCTGTGAGAAAACACAAGAGCTTGCTGAGCTGAATCCTACTTCTTCCCTCACCCCCTCCATCACTGAATCCAGACAAGAGCAGAAAATATACCTGCTGCAAATACTGAATTGGGCCATACTAAGATTTCTCCTCTCTTTAGCAGCTGAAAAGGCTATTCACCTTTCCCCAAGCTGTTTTTTGTTCAGGAAGCAGTATCAGACCTCCTCCATTTTTTATTCCTCCTCCAAGCAAGGTATCACAGATCAACTCCACCCTCATCCACAAGGCAGTTTAACATCAAAAATTGTGAGTGCTCCCTCCCTGGCACAGTGTAAGTATTTAACACATTTAAAGTACTTGAAATCCCTTGAGGGACAGGATCATGACTGTTAAGCAGTCCCTAAAGATACGCCCTGTTCCCACTGAAGCAAAGCTTGACAGTTGGGTCTGAAGAAACGTGTTCAAGTTCAGTGTAGCATAGGAACTTTTAACTCCCTAGCTGCTCAAACGCACTACTTAATCATTCCTTTGGTAGTGCAGGTAAGTGAGATCTGCTCCTTCTCCCATCAGCCTCCCAAGGAGCATCTGCCCTAGCATAAAGCACTGCAGAACAATAAGGCGCTCCCTGGCCCCTGGACTAGTGTGCCATTCCAGATAAGCAGTGCAGAGTTACAGCCAGAAGCAGGCATTTCTCCATCCCAGCCATTCCCACAGTGTTCTCATACAGAGAGAAGTGCTGCTGCAGGATGGGGTAACTCACTTTGACAGTAGGAATGCCAACGCCACAGAGCATCAGCAGTCATCTGCTGGATGTGACACCTGAATCTCTGGTCAGCTTCCACTTTCTGGACCAGTCTCCTCTTCCACAGGCTGAAAGCCATCTGGCAGCAATGAACTTGATGTTTAAGGGTTGCTGCTGCATTTTGTTTCTGGTTTTCCACAGCTTTGTGGTGCCACCTGAGAAAGACTCTGAGAAAGACAGAAGTCACTGGAGCAACTGTAGGAACAACTCAAATAGATTCAGAGATGATCAGACAATGAAGTACCTCTGCACGCAGGATTTCTCTATTTGGTTCCAGCAGCTCTTCAACTCCCTCTCAGAACTGCAGTCCTGTAATCCAGAAAAGCAAAATGATCCTGAACTCCTGCTCGGACACAGTCAATCCATGCAGCTCAGCCCGTTCTTGCTGCTGTGCCTTCTGTGAAAGCTGACACTTAATTTCCCTGTTACTAACCCCCTCACACCACACATACATCCAAACGTGAGGGCCTAACACCTCTTTTAAATTCTAGATACACGGCCAACTTCCAATTCAACTAGAAAGTGGAAGGGAAGAGCTGCTCTGAGAAATGCCTTAATTCTCCAAACCTCTTGTCTGAACATAAAATGAGAAGAACAGCGATATCTTTCACCTGCTGATATTGAAACCCAAAGGCTGTTTGCTAATTTGGGCTATGCAAAAAAGCAGTCGTATGTTTTTCAGCCTCACCTCTTCCCGTGTAGAGTTACCAATGAGTGGCGGGACATTACTCTCTGGATTCTGCAGTGCCAAATCCTGGAACTGACCTCCCACAAACAAATTTTCTCTGTGAGACAAAAGCATCAGTCAGAACAGGGAAAGAAAGAGAAAGTATTTGGAAGGCTGCTGTGAGATGACATGAGTGACTAGCCAGAAGGAAGGAATTTGCCAGACCAAACAAGGGGCCACTTCTAATAGCATCCCCAGGAACCAGGCTCCAACTCACCTACATCCACTATTCTGGGAAGGGAAGGAAGCCTGCAAGTACAACTCCCCATCGAGCTCAGCTGGCAGCTCTACATGCTGGTACAGTTGCAGGGAAGAACTGTAACATGGCACACATGGCACATCTTCAGCTGTCACAATGGAAGAGCAGCTCTGCTGGCTGCTGTCACTAGAACTGTATTCCTGTATGTGTGGAGAGAAGAACATGCCATGAGATGTGTCCTTACAATGGAATCACTCAGTTAACAGTTCTAGCCATATAATTTAATCCTCTTTCCAGCAAGGATTCATGGAAATCCAGAATATATCCAAAGGAACTGCAGGCTAGCAAGGGCAGCTCTGGAGTGTAAACATCCTTCATGGGAAAGTTATTTCTGTACTACTCTGGGAATGGTTAACCCCAAAACAACATAGCAAGCCATCACTGAGGCAGTGCATATGCCCATTGCCAGTTTTCTCAGTGATAAGATTTTATTTAATCTTACCCTTTCCACACTGTAGCCACAAACAGGAACAAATACACAAGACAACCACATTAGCTCAGCTGCTCCCCATATTACTAAACGATGAAGTAGGGAACATGCAGAGAAAAGTAACTTTACAATTTCTGATGACACAAACTCCAAGGCCCTACAAGCTGAGGGTTCTTCGGGCCTAAATACTAAGCAGTTTCTTAATGAGTCCCATGTTGAAGCAGAAATTTTGAAAAATTTCAATAATACATCAGATCAGTCTGAATGTAGGGGCAGAGATGCCCTGTATCAAGACATCCTCACCTTTTCCAGTGAGCTTTGAGAAGCGAGAGTAGCTGTAGCACTGCTGTGGAAGCCAGAAGATGTTGAGAGTGTTGAGAGGTCCTCACAAAACAGCAAGGCAAGAGGTTCTTCACAGACAGTCCCATGAGAGTGCTTAGGACTTGGTTCAGTTGTATTCAGCATGAGAAACTTTTGATGCCATACTTTCAGAGCTTTTCTCAGTCTATACTGCTCCAGAGCCTGAGTGAAAGAACTGAGACAGAAGATACTGAGATAGTAAAGTGAATGAAAAGAGATACCAGAGACGAACACTAGTACAGACATGACAGCTAGTACAAGGAGTTCTTCCAGAAGGACTGGAAGTCAAATGGATACTACTAAAGAGGGCAGAGCTCCAGGAACTGGCTCTTCATCACTCACTCAGCTCTGTGGTGCTCGTAAAGCCTTGCTTTCCACAGCAGATACACTCTCTGCAGTTTCACCTTCAGGCACAAGTCATCAAGAGAGCAGCCTGTTTTCTCAGGAAACCATCTCCCTGCTGTCCACCATGGCTGACTGTCACATCTTCTCTCTGTTGCAGTCTCATCAGCTACTGAGCTTACAGCTGGTCCTGAACCAGTTACAGAGATTGACAAAAAGCAATGTTTGTCAGAAGGCATTTGTAAGAAACTCAGTCCAGCTGAGCCCCCTAACAGCCTTCTTTCAAGGTTTAAGGCTTCCTCCAGGGTTTACATGTATAAAACAGAGACCAATCCTGCCTGTAGCATCACCGATACATCCAGAACAACCAGCCCTCTACCTACTGCCCATGATATTTGTTAACACCATCTGAGCTTCTATTACCAGGCTATTTTCCTCCACTGTACAAGTAGAGGAGGAATGAGCCTAGGCACCTCCAAATCTTAAGATTATGCAAGTACCCAAAGTTGCTCACCATAATGTTGCCTCCATCTCCGAAGGAGGAAGTTCACCATCACCTGCTTATTGCTTTCTCTGATCTGCAGCATCTGAACCCACTGCTGGAAGTATTTCCTCAGTGATTCTACTCTGAGATGGGACCAGGTTGCATCTATGAAATGCTTTCTGCTCAACAGTCTCCTTCCACACACTGAAGCACCTGAGAAGACCAAAGAAAAACAGAATGCTGAACTATAGATTTTCTTCAGGACTTTGGCTTCCAAGTCCCTTAAATGAAATTTCTGCTATTACTAAATTGAAATGGTCTCCAACCAAAAGACACTACTACATTTAACAACTCCTAAAACACAAAGAGTGCAACGGCTTTAAGATGAACAATGCATCACTGTCTAGGTTGGCTCCATAATTCCTTGGACTTTCAGAGTGAACACTTCTCACATTAAAAATACACCCCGTCAACTTACCGGGAAATTAAATTTCTTTGGATACAAGTTGTCAGTTGTAAAATCTTTTTAATTTCTAAGCATTGGGACCGCCACAACTGGAAAATGTTTCGTAGCCGCTTCTTTTCCAGCAGGGCACGTACTTCCAGCAACCTGGCTTCCTCTCTGCTCAGCAGCTCCTTCTGCAGGCGCCACAGTCTGAAAGCTGTTATATTACAGGGCAGGAAGAGATTGACAGGAAGAAAAATAACTTAGAAGATCTTCAAACTAGTTAGTGTCACACAGCAAACATCTCCAGGCTGAACATCACCTGTCTGAGGCATTTAAGGGGTGTTTAAGGGAAACAGCTCACATTGCTGGAGCAACTGCATCTGCTGCAATTGAACTCATACAAGAAGCGAAGCAAAATATGTATGGCAGGGCAGGTGAGCCACCCTGTCCCACCAGACACTGGCCCAGCTATTTGCAGGATCAGGTTCTGAAAGAGTCAGGTCAAAGCAACAACTGAACACTAATCAAGAAACATAGTAAAACAGTGATTTCGTTTGAGCTGTTCCAAGGCTATGGAACACGTGCTTACCAGCCAGTCGTCTTATGTCTCTGATTGCTTGAGTTCTCCAACAGAACTCATCTCCCTGCCTGCGATGAAGCTGCGTCCAGAGTTCACTCTCCACCCTGAAAGTCATAAGCATGCTTTAACATCCCTCTGTCCAAACAGATGCTCACAGAACACAATCCAGAGCTTTCCTTCTCATTAGATAGCTCTTTTTTTTTTTTTTTCCTGTCTGGACTTGCTCTCCTGCTTTCAGAATCAGCAGGCAGAAAAGGTCTTTTCTTTTGATACATCCACTGTCCTGCTAGAGACTTTGAGACTCAAATGACAGTGATACTATTTACACCTGTATCCCACAAACAGATGGTAGCTGAACTCAAGAAACAGTACAGGAGTATTTCTGTCAGACAAATCAGACAGAAACACTTGTGCACAGAAGTTCTGAGACAGGATTGTTTAATTCTTAGAAGCTTTAAGTTACTAATTGTTGCACCAGTTATTCACAGCAATACATCCACAGACCCGGAAACAAGTTTTCCACAATCTGAGGAAAATTTTGCTGTCTGTAAATCTCCACTTGTCTGAGATAACATAAGAGAATCCTTTCAGCTTACCTACAAGCCTGCTCAGCTTCCTGCAAGTATGCTGCTGTAAGCTGGTGCTGAGCTGAGGTTGTCATAGTTGCTAATCTTCCTAATCCAAAAAAACCCGCTGATGAACATTGGGTATAAGAATATGGTGCAGGCTGTGGAGCTTGCTTCTTGCCCCTTTGTGCCACAGCTTCATTCCACTGAAGGAGAAACCACAGAACAAACCGCAGGCAGAATGTCAGTACCACGATCCACACCACTGAATTTCACACAGATACTCCTTCCTCCTCCCCATTCAAATACAATTTCTATCTTCTCTGACCTCAGAAAAACATTTCAGACAACAGAAAATTCATGGCACTATTTCTACTGTCCCTGGCCCATCCTCACCTTGTGGAAGCTGGCAGCTAGCAGAGCCGAGGCATGTCTCTGCTGGGCTACCTTCAGCTGCATCCTCCTCTGGTGCACAGCCCACTGAAAGGCACCAAGGCCCTTCTGAAGCAGTCGGCGCCTGTAAAGCTGCCTGGCTGCAGCCCTCTTCCAGAGGACGTGGTCCCTCCAGGCTTGGAAACACCTCGTTACTATTTGTCTGTCATGTAAGTGCTGGAAACTTTGAGACGAAAACAAAACAAAACAAAACACAAAAGTAATCTCCAGTTAACAGACAAAATTAAATGCAGCCAGGAGGTGGCAATCAGACTTCAGCCATCAAGCTGAAAAGAAGTATTTCAAATCACTCTCTAAAGAGTGAAGGACCTGCAGCCTCACACCAAATTAAGGTGTCCATCTCACCCACAGATCACAAATTTGAATCCCATCTCATGGATAAACCCAGTTCTTAATCTTCACTAACTCTGCAGTGAGCATGCCAGAATTTGCTGCACTGAAAAATAATGTACAAAGTACCAATGCTTTTTCATTGCTAGTAACAACCAAGGTTAAATTTCAAGAGGTAGAATTTAAAAGATACAGAAATTATTTTTTAAAGCACACACTATTTTAGACAGTAAACCTTTGAAAAGAGATGGATGTAGCTCCAGATCTAATAACAGCAGAATGACGTAGGTTAAATCCTAAAACCAGGATGTGCATCCTCAGTCACTTTCCAGCAGTTTTCCTCCTGTTAACTACCAGAGCACACATATAAATTCAGTCTTTTACCTTTGCTTGTGCACCTTCAGAGAGCAGCAGCTGTTGTCTGACACCTGAAAACAGACACAAGACAGTAACTCACATGGTCATTCCACTACCCTACTGTTGAAGACTGTTTCTTCAGACATTAACAGAACTGGAATTTCAGGACCCTGCAGCTATGCAGAGTAAAAACCAGCTTAATGCTTCCCATCTGCACGTAGATCCTGGGAATACAACCAAGTGTCTACATTCCCATGATCAACCAAGCAAACAAGCTGGGGTTTAGGAAGATGCACGCAAGACAAAGGTGCACATGTTGGGATGGAGCAGGATCATCAGAGAGGAAATTCTGGCCATTCGGTGCCAGAAAACTATAGGACAAGCATCCCCATCACTGCTGTGCTTCAACTCTGCACCTCTAGCAAAAAGCAGTACCCGTTAGCAGGGATGCTACACAGTGAGCACACACTCACCTCTCTGGAGGCAATTTCCTGTGCCTGGCTCCCTTCTTCACAGCACTCTGCTTCTTTGACACTCCTCACCACAGAAGGATCTTCAGAGCAGTCTAGATTGGCATCAGCTTCCCAATTCCTCCAGCTGCTTTGGTAGGAGCATTGGTCCCTCCTTCCTTCTCTGCTCACATTCCCACATTCTGTGTCAGAATATTCACCAAAGCCTTTTTCGTCCTGAACACTGAAAGGGCTGGAGTGGCTGCTGTCTGCCACTATCATTCTTCTGTCTGCTTGTGATGTGGAGTCACAAACCTCTTCTAACGCTTTGCTGGACTCCACAGGAGGTTCACAATTGTTGACTTCTGCAGGTCTAATGCTAAGCTGCTGTATTGGTCTGAACTCTTGATCTCCAGAAGGAGAAGCGACTCTTAAACACACTTCCCTTGGAGTCCCATACATGGCTACACCAACATTCATCTGAGCTCCCTCAAAACACGTTTCCAGTGACAGCTGCAGACCCTCAGGGTACATGCTGGCTGGAAGATCTTTTTTCCAAGGTATAGGACATGCGAATGCCCCACCAGTTGTCTCTTCTTTAAGAACCTTTCCAGAAGAACGAATTTTTGTATGAACATAAAGACCACCATTTTCTTCTACAGTTGACTCTGCCTGGGACTGGCATCTGAAGCGAGGGGAGCAGTTCTTGGAGGAATCTGCTTTTGTATCCACAAGCCTGGCAGAACCCACCCCAGCAGAGAGTCTTTCTGGCCAGGCGTCACCTGAAAGTTTCGATCTCCACATGCTGGAGTCAACATACCCGTATCCGTGAGAGACAGAGAGAGGTTCAGCATGACTCAAGTCCCTTGCCACTGCATCAAGGCTGCAGCCTTTGGCAAATGGGATGCCCCATTTCAACCTGGCCTGAGCAGCACCGTTTTTCACTCCAGCTAGCTGTTCTCCTGTGCTCAGGGTACAAGAAGCAGAATCATCAGGAGCAAAGTACAAACTGCCACTGCCTGGGGAAGAGCTGGGCTCCAGAGGGAGGGAACCCCGTATCCCCATCAAAGCAATTTTTTGCTTCAGCCTCCAGACTGAACGGTACAAGCCAGCAGAAATCCGTGACAACTGCAAGAAAACCTGAAAGGACTCCAAATTAGGCAGGCGGAGATCCCCCAAAGTCAGTGCTGAACTACGGCAAGCATTCACACTGCCACCTGAGCTCCCTGAAGAGGGACACAGCTCTAATTTGTGCCTGAGAGGGGTATCTCCAGCATGAAGTGACAAGTGTTTATTGACCAGTGAAGGGCTCCCAGGATCGATACAAGATACAGCACGAGGCTGCTGTTTTTCTGCTGGGTAGTCACCATTCTCATTCCTTCCTTCTAAACAGTGCTGGTGAGCAGTAGGTGCAGAGCAGGTACCAGCTGCCTTTGCTTTCTGCTGGTGTTGCTGAGGGAAGTTGATATTCTCATTCCATCTCCCTTCTGCACAAAAAGCCTCCAGGTGAGAGTGCCTCTGAGGGACTTTCACAGCGGGGTACACTGACAAAGCAAGACGGGGAATCCTGTGAGCCACGTACTGAGAGCTGTGCTGCTGCAGCCTGAAGCAGAGATTATTCTGCTGCTGGACGGGGGATCTGGAGAACTGACTGGTGGTGTCCTGGAATAGCTGAGAAGGGCAGGAGAGATTAGTCTGTATCAGACTGGGCTCCCTCTGCCCAGGTGACAGAGGTGTGGTACAAACCCAGCCTTGTCCTGCTGCCTGGCTGGGAGTTACACCAAATGCAGCCACCTCAGGCCAGCGATGAGAAATGTCTACTCGACTTCTAGCACTCAAATAGAGATCAACGTTCACATTCTTCTGAATGTTTCTTTGCTCTGAAGAAAAATAAGGAGAAATATAAACAAAGGAGAATGCATATTTGTCATCACATCTTCCACAGTTTGCCATAGGCTTTGGGTACTTTCATTGTAAGTCTCTTGTCTCCAATTCACCAGCCTTTCACTGATCGGAAACCAAGCTCAGATCTCCTTCACACACATTTTCTCCAAGGCTGGCAGGAATAACAACGTCTGGACTTAAGGTACAGTTTAACTGCATAACAAATGGAAATTTGTTCATAAATGACGTTACAGCCCCACAAAGGTTCAAGGCTATGTAGAGACCAGTTTCTTCTTGTCCATACTACAGGATGAAACGCTCTTTAATATACAGAGAATCTATAGTGTTCCTTAACTCAGGAGAATTAGGACATAGATGGGAGGCCTAATTTGCCACTAAGTCAGATTCTTATACATAAAAGTCTCATGCAGAACACAGATCCTTAAGTTGCCGTTAACAGGAAAGTGCAATTCAGGGGGACTGTGCTTTCATTCCCTCAAATCTGAAATACAAGTTAGCAACCACTCTGTCACTCTAAGCGCTCTTTTCCATCCTTCATTTAAAAAAATGAAAACAGTGTTGTGAAAAAGACACACACTTATACCATCCTAAAGAAGAGGCAGTATGAAAAGAAAGACAGACTCGCTTATAAAATAAATGCCCATCATCTTTTTTCAAATGTACTCAAATAGCAGAAAGTCTCCTTTCAAATCGGATTTTGTTTCCAAAGCATCTGAGCCTGAGTCATCCCTGGTTGCAAACAGCATGCCCGTGCTCCTCACATACCACAACCCGGGGAGTACACTCAATTGCTAAAGTGACAGTAGATAATCATGCAACATGGCAATTATCCCTGGGAACTGCTGTTACTGCCTTTCATGTCAAACGTAGCATGAATGGAAAGATTCCATTATTTCTTCAAGACAAGTAGAAGTTGGCAACTACAGAATGAACAGACAAAGCACCGCTGCCTTCTTTAGGGCACTTACCCTAATGTATAACATCAAAATGTAGCAGGCTGGTGTTCTGTAGAAGCTCTCCTTGCATCCCAGGAATATCCAGACAACTAGCAAAGCATCACAAAGGAATACTATAAAAGATTTTGAAGGGTGAAAGGATACGACACCATCACGCTTATTGGTGCTGTTTTGCTCCATGAGCACCTGAAACCTGGCACCAGACTTTTACTCACAGGAGCCTAGACATAATCTGTTTTCTTAATAACTAATGCATTTTTTCCCCCCAATTATTTTTCCAGTTCTTTCTGCCATGTACCAGACCCAATACACCGTCATGATTATTGTAGCGGTTGTTCTTCACCTGACTCATTCCTAATTTCAGTCTCGTTGAGATCTGAAAGAAATAGCATCCTCTGAAAGGTGGTTTGGTAGCATTCCCATAACTGCCAGTCAGGATTTTAACGTAGCCACTTTAAAGCAGTATTTAATCTCATCCAGAAGGCACAAAGATTGTTATGGAGTGCTTTTCAAAATTTCCTCTAAGGCCAAAAGAGATACTTGAGGCAAACTGCATACTTTGCCAACTGCAGAAATCCACAACCGAGGGATTTCATGTTGTTTTTAATGTTTCCTGCTAAAGTGTTTAATGCATGCTTACTACGTGCAGTTTACATTGTGCAGCAAACACTAATGCATTAAAACATGAAGTAAATCCAATTACGTAAACAAAAATTAAGCTGATCAATGCACTTCTGGTGTTGTTATAAGCAAAAGTAAATAGCATAATTCATTAAGAGTAATTCAAGCTCTTTCAAGTGAATACCACTTCAGTGGTACGCTATCAAGGACAAACACATAACAAACACGTAAGTACCACACAGACAATAATTTTCCTAACCCTGCAGACCACAGTCCAAGTTGGGACCAGTGGCTGGCCCCACACCACACCACACATGCCTCAGAAACAAGACTATCGCCCTGCTGCTCACTCTTACAAACCAAACCATCATTTCTAAAGCATGCTCAGCCTTGAGCTTCACGTTTTTACTTTGAGATGAAAAGGTACGTAGAAATACTCTTCCCTGAAGCTGCCAGAGGGCGGTTACCACTCCAGCAGCTGAGGAACAGCCTCACAGGGGTGCCCTTCCCATATAGCCAGCAGGAACCAGCATCCCAGGAGCTACACCAGGGAGTGGGGACCCACCACCCACTCCTGGGGGAGCTGCTCAGAGGCCTGGAGCAGGCACAGGCCCCATCATTGGGGTGCTCAGCGTCCCACAAGGACCCACAGCAGTCCGTGGGTGCTGACACAAACCTCTCCTCCCAGGCACTTACTCACTCGGACAGCCGCTGCTGGACATGCTGCTCAGCCTCACCAGGACCTTGGGGGCAGGACAGCCGCCTCTTTGTGTCTGCTCCTCAGGGCGCTGGGGCAAACCCGCTGCTTTGCCTCCCCCTTACCGCCCAAACCCCAGCGGTGAGCTCACTCACTCCAGCTGGGCCACTGTAAGCAGCTTATCCCCTCCGATTAGCAACGCCGCCTGTCCCCAGGGCTGCAGATGGAAAGCGGCTCTTGCCCATGGCTAATTAAAGCTGAGCCCTCACCACGACCCAGCTCAGCACCTCAGCAGAGGGGACACAGCTTCCCCCTTGCCGCCCACCAGGCCCCTGGCTCCTGTCAGCAGCACTGCAGGTGGGAAACAGTGAACATCCCCAAAAAAAAACACACACCAGGGCACATCAGCACTGGAGAATTAGCGAGAAAAACAAGAAAACAGAACAGAGCATCGCACCTGCTGCACGTCTGGCTGAGGAGACCCCACTGAGAGGAGCCCTGCAGTGAGGCCAGGCTGTGCAGCAACACGACAGGCCGGGTGAGGCCCCACACACCCTCCAACATCAGGCATCGATCTGAAAACACACTGGTGCTTATTTTAACCAACAACCGCCCTCTGCCTCAGAAGCCAGGAGAAGGGCATGGTTTTTACTGTCATCTTGCTGATTTAACACCCCAAATTGGCATCCCCAATTCACAGTAAGCATATTAATAACCCTGCCTTGTTTTGCTCTTCTGAGCTCCCCAGATCTAAATTCTCCACAGGAATGCACACAGCAGGTCAGCTAGATGGGTACTGATAGATTTTTTTTCCTTCCACTGGAGAATGGCTTGGAAAGGCCTCATTAGGTGTAACCGTATGTTCATGCAAATACTCAAAAAGCTTTGCATTTAAAGCAGCCATTTTGTCTGTGGTCCACTGGTCTAGGGAAGGAAAAACTGCTTACCCTCTGAGTGTTTAAACATGTATTCAGGGATCCATACTTTCACTGTACAGTTTTGAAGAACTGAAAAACAGTAGCTGAACAGGCAGTTCTATAAAACCTAGAAAATTCTGCCTACCGATTCCTAGTCCAGTGCTTTGTTACATGGCAGCCTGCAAAGTGAATCCACAACACATCTCAGGAGACTAACCCAGACTATTGCAGTTTTATGGCATTTACCACATGCTCAGTCCAAGCATAAGTGATGATGGTCCAGGTACAGCAGCAGTTCACTGTGATGCTTGTGTAGTATAAGGAATGAAGCATCTGCTGATGTTTAAAGGAATGAAATGAGAGAAAAATGCTCATTCTTAAGAATAGAAAAGATATGTTTCTAGAGGATAAAGCAAAGTTAACAGGGATTTTGGTCACTGAAGAGTCAACACAGCAGCAAGTCTTGGAAGAGAAATGCAATTGTCAAATAACAGATGTATGTTTTGAATGTGAACTTGCTTCAGAAAAAACACAGGTCTTCCCAGCACCAGTATTTTCATTCTGCTAAGGCTCACAATCTTTTCTCCTAAACTAACCTGTTGAACACTTGTTAATTATTTTACGCTGAAAGTCACAGCAGGGCAGGTTTGCTGTGCATAAGATGAGTATTCATAGTTTAACACATTCTAGCGTTTGCTGCTGTGTAGAGCTACACAAACCCACCTCTTCCTTTTCTCAGTCCTTTTACTAGCCTACTTTCATCACCCACACACACATCCCCTTGCAGTACCCACCATGTGTCTGTGTAAAGCTTACACAAACATCATCGAAGCCCTGTAGATCTTGCCCCATAATGGCACTCCCAGACTGCCTGGCTACAGTCCCAAATCGTTAGGAATACATACATTTTCAAATAAGACAGAGGTGACCAGCATAATTTTTCTGACACAAAACCTGTGTTCATTTTTATAACTTTCTTAGAAAAATGTAACATTTCAAGTTCTGTTAAGACAGGCAGCTGAAGGCAGAAGGACATTTCAAGGCACAGAACATCTATAATCAACATTTAACAGTCATGGTAAGTATCCCAAAGGACATTCAACTTGCGTAAAAGCTTCAGTGAATACTCTGTGGTCCAGCAAGAGCATTTTATACCAATCCCAGCTGTATGCAAAACCACAGCTAGCACAGGGAGTTATGGTCATAAATCTTAATTAAAAAACATCAAAAACAGCCCCCAGGAACTCCCAGATGTTTCCTGGAAATGTATCAGCATGAAAGCAGGCAGAACTGTGTTAAGAGTAGTCCTGTAAGCCTTTTAAAGATAGTTTGTCCAGGAGTATTGGAGTGGTTCCCTTACTTACAGTAGAGAGGATGCCCAGTACAAAACCAGGAAGAACGTAGTAGGTTCATCCATTTGCATATACAGGGGAGGGATATGAGGGAGAGAGGAAAGGAAAGTGTACAGGAATTACAAAGACCCAGTGCTTAACATGTTATTAGAGATCTTCTGGACTTACTCCAGGAACCCCCCTGCCTAACCTTCAGGGAGGCAAAAGAAAAGCATAATCACATCCTCTCTTATTTGCTCAGTAGCAGGTCTTGTGCCATCAGAACAGACATGGGAGTAGTGTAAGGCTGGACTGGGTGAGGGAGGTGTCCGTTCTGTTGCAGATGAGGACCTCAGTATGGATGTGGGGCTGCCTTGCTTGGGTCAGGCCACTGCGGAGAGGCATCCTGTTGATCAATTGGCTCATAGGTGCTGCGATCCTGGCCTGCACGGATGAGACCTGAACAGAAAGGGAAGAGAACAAGCTTGAAAAAAAATTAAAAAGCACGAAAACTGAATCCTCTAGAAGAAACCAAAAGCTCAGGAGCATACCATGTTGGCTACTCTACCAGCTCCCCAGTACCTGTTCCGTGACCTTCAGTATACAGGCAGGAGGTAAGAAAACATCCTTCCAACAAAAGCAAAATAGCTGAGGTGTATTTGAACATGCCCCTTCATCCCCCAAGAAGCACTTTTAGCCATGGGGCTGTTTAGAAAGCAAAACTTGCAATAATACATAGCAGCATAGCAGGCTGCTGTAATAGCATATTTCAGCAAGATCAAGTTTATGAGATGAGTTTATGGTAAAATCAATGGATCTTGCAACAAACAGAAGCAGCAGGAACCATGGCTAGCTGACAGCATGGACTTAAGTGCATGATTCATTTGTGAACCACTCTTCCAACAACCCAGCTATGTCTCAAGTGTGCCACACCATGGCACTAAATTTGAATCCAGCAGTGCTCCCAGTTGCACTATGAACAATTTGTCCATGGTACAAGACTAGTACAAAAATCACATATCTTTCCCTGCTTATCCCCTGAATAGTAAAGATACTGAAAATGTGCTCGGACAGCTCTCTATAGGCCAGGCATCTGCCATGGCTAGAAATCTACCCGAATCAAAGGTGGGTCTCAAACCACAAGAGGCTCGTTCTATGCAGCAAGGATGCTGCCAAGCTGAAAAAGAAATTCTGTTTCAAAAGAAAATGAGAGAGGACCAGAAAAAACACAGCACAGTTAAGTTTAAGAGGAAAATGCCAGATATTAAGAAAATGAGAGAGTTTGTCAGCCGCATTTAACAGAAAACAGCACAGAGTTCATACTGAGCATTGTGAGAAAGACAGTTCAGAAGATATGAAGCTGGAGAGTGACTGAATTCCAACCTATGCCTAGGAAAAGACTCTTTGACAGCATGTCTGTGTTGGAATAGTGTGGTAAAAAGGGAGAATACTCTCAAGTTCTAAGCAAAGGGGGGAAAAAAAAAATCAGTCAATCCTTAATGATACCTATACTTCCTGTGGGATAAAGACATTAAATCCCAGTTATGAGCAGTCAGCAGCTCATAACCTGGTGCAAACACAGCCCACATCAGGACACTGCAGTGGACACAGGCCTTCTGACATGGCCAAGACAAATCTGCCTGGCATTTGTACAAGCAGCTGATGGAGAAGACATCCACGTTACACTATCAGAGATGCAAATAGCACATAACACCCTGAAACCACCATTTTCCTTCAGTGGCAGTGCAAGTATTCACCTTCACAGGAAGCCTGATACTGCTTTGGTGCTAGCAAAGAAAGTAAGTGACAGCTTTCAACCACTGCAATGTCAGTTACACCATCCTTTGTCCTGCACAGCCTCAGGAAGGAAAAAAAAAGCTAACTGTGCCAAACTGCTGGTTTTCCCGGGGTGTATTCCCATGCAGCAAACAATCCCTGGCAGCTGTCCCACTATGAACTAGCACCAGGCATGCTTGGCAAAGAAGCTGAGAACATCCAGCCACAGCCCTTCTCTTGGGCAAGGACGCCACATTATCACTAGCAACTACAACCAGGAGAAAAACAAGTGCCTCCAAGCAAAGTTGCATGAGGTGAACATCAGTCCCATTTACCAGGTGAGGAAACAGAAGTCCAAAGTATTCAAGATAGCTAGGAGATGAGACCCACATACACAGAGATAGGAAATCCAGCCTCTTTCCCTCATAGGCCTAATCCAGCTATACAGGATGCTGCCTTTACTTTCCCCACAGAAGGAAAAGAAAAGGTTGACAAAGAGGGAAGGACACCCAAAGGCTTCCAACAAGCCCACACAAATGCAGGAGGTGGAACAGAGGAAAAACCTGAGTTACACTGAATAAGGGTGACAGCAGTTGTGTCAATACCATAATGGGCAAAATTGCTGTCAGATGAGGACTCCAGGTCTGCAAGGGAAGAGGAAGAACATAAATTTAAGGACTAAGACATGGCAGGACCACAAAAGAGGAAAACAGACATGAGAAAGAGAAGGGCCATCTGCCTCCCTGGAAAGGGGGACAGAATCCAGCTGCACAAGGCTCAGGGTGAAGGGTACAGAGTAGAAAGCAGCCTTCTCTAACACCAGAGGATGTGGAGGCAGAAGAAGCATCCTACCTATGTTGAAGGTGTACTCTCCTCCACGCTCCCGGTACATCTGATACACAAAATAGCAGGACGCAGGTTTAAGGAGGAGGCTGAAGATTGCCATGCCTATACTGAACCGCTTCACATCAGTCAAATAATCATTTGAAGGGTAGAAGACAGAGACGTGAATGATGTCTGTCAGGACTGTGAGCAGCAGGCCAGTCAGGAACTAGAAGGAAAGAGAGAACAGGACATAAGCTGAACAGGAGATTAATCACTAGGAGTAACAGTGAGTTACAGAGTCTATTTGCTGGAAAATCTGCATTCACACAATCATGTCTTCATCCCATTATCACACATTTCTAACCCTTGACAGTGATCCCAGGTAAACAGATTCCTAAAGCGTACAATCTCATGTGTCATGCATTTTCTTCACATCCATTACACACCTTCTCATGATATGTTCCAGGGCTGTTTATTTTTGCTTGCCAATCTCTTCAATGATCAGAGAAGGGATTTATAAAGCCCCTCTAACTCACGCGTACTAAGCACTGAGCCCTCTTCTGACATTAAAAAAATCACAACAGCAGGTAAAAAATAAGAATTATATATTCCTTACCCCTGAGAAGCAAAATAACGGATACTGAGTGCTTCTCACCACAGTTTATAGTGCTTAAGTAAAATCCAGGCTCTCTTGGGGTGGGGAGAAAAAGTGAGTTTGACTTGTTGACTGCTATATTGGGAACAGCTGAAGATCATCACTGATTCAAAGGAGCTGTTTCTGCCCTCCACCCTCTCCCTAAGCAGCTGGGTTGAGGCAAATACTCTCACACTCACCATCATGATGGCATCAAGGGAATCTCGCTGCACAACAGCCCAGATCCCCACTGCCAGGATACTGAAATTTCCCCAGGCATAGGAGGCTGGAAACAAGTAATTCATGCTTCCCCTGCCAAACAAGACAAAAAAAACAGCCCAAATTCACAATAAGCCTGCAATAGTGTTTGAATTTATCCCTCCCATATAAACACTTGGGCTTAGGATCTTGTACAAGGCACAAATGGGGAGTGCTGATTCCCCCAAAACATCCTGTACCTACTTGGAAGGAATACCCTGTTCTCACCCAGGTCAGGTACTCACCACACTGTAAGCAGCCAGTGTACCAGAATGATGGCCTGTGGAAAAACAGAGAGGAAGACAGGTCAGCAAGTTGGGAACACTGGGGGAAGATTGATGTGAAATTACTCTGTCTTGTCACCAAGAGTGCCCTGGACCCATGAACCACTGCAGAAAGCTGGCTTAGCAACTGGGACAGTGAAGACAAAACCATTTTTCTCTGCTTCTGTTGAGTATTTCCTGTGGTGCTACACTATAGTCATTCATTATTGTTGTCGTCTCTGTTGACAGTTGATTCAGGCTGACTTAGTCTGTCCTAAATGCATTATTGATTTTGGAACTCCACAAGAGTTCGTACAGAAAGCAGGCCATCTCATTCACACTGTGCTAGCAGTTTGTACATGACCAGTTTTGCATCCAAGACGTCCAGGGATAGCCAAGATTGAAGCTTCCAGCAATTTTGTTGTAGTCCTCTGGAAATCCTCCTTTTACCTCTTTCCAGCATGTTAAGAACAGTGGCTTAACCTTGCTGCAATATTAACAGACCCGAAGGTATCTTCTAGGAGCCAAAGGACCTGATCCTGCCATAGCACGCAGCTCTTTTCATCCCCAGCGAAGCCACCAGGACCCAAATTCTGGCAATGCCCTAAGCAGCACTAAGATCATGTTATCAGAGATTCTGTACTTTTTCAGGTGGCTGTAATGATCCTGATCCTTGTGCTGCTCAAGGCAACAA